CCCCCCTAAAACTTGAGTGTCGATTAGAATCGACTAAGAGACGAAAATATCTATTAATGTACTCTCTAAGGGGGTCGTTTTTAACAAGTACTGAGTACTGCCAGTATCAATTAGTAGTCCACCACTACCCCCCCCTGAAATCCCCCTGAAATCCCCCAGATTTTTTTTAGGTAAAAAAAAGTCATTAAATGCAAATGGTCAAGTATAGTTCGTATGAAAGTATATCCATAAATCTATAAATATAAACTTTATATTTAAGTAATAATTTGCGGTGGATATAAAGTCAGAATTTGTGTAAGAACGGATCCGTAGTTTGTGTAAAGCAGACTAAAAATGAAAAGGAAAAATGTTTTAGTTCTGAACATTCAGACAGGTCCAAGAGTAAAATACCTTCCTATTATTATTTGACATCGGGAGGGGGGAAGGGGGGTCCAAAGCACAGAAATTTTTAGTACTGCAGTACTATCTAGAGTAATTGTACAGGGTCGGGCAGCACGGTTTTTTTTTTTGCTGTCAGGCACAGGAGTACAAAAAGATCGTTTAAAACTTTGTTTAAATATCTAGCCCCAAAAGAGTGGCACACAAAGCTAAAGCAACCTCCCTTACTTTCGTTGAAACAACAGTTACGGCGATATTTTGCTAAAAATAGTCCTTAAGACAGCTTTTTCTTCATCAACTGAGCAAAACAGCATGAAGCTCTTTCCCCGGAAGAGTCAACATTGGTTGTGGATGAAGGCTGTGGCCTAGAGAGTTATTTGCATATGAGGCCCTATCAAGGATGAAAGAGAATTTGCAGTCGCCGTTTTTGCCCAAATGGGTGGTGCCCGGATTGTAACAAAATCCGTAGTTTCTCATTCTTCGGGCACATATAAGATAATATAGTGCCAATGGTTGTTTTATAGAGAATCAACTATTTCAAAAACCATGTCATTAGGCCTAATTTACGCAGAAATGGAGGACGGTATACCACGGTATTTTGTGTTTACCCATCAATAAAATACTAAAAATTTAAGAAATTGGGCACTCAGTTACAGTAACTATGACACCTAGAATCTATTTCTATAGATCTAGATCTAGATATATCTCTAGATCTAGATTTTCTAGATCTAGAATCTAGATTTAGATCTAGATTTTAGATTCTATCATGTGTGGTACAGGAGGAAAAGTAAAAGAATAACAATTATTTAAGAGTGAGGGAGAGATCTAATATTTTTTATGACTGTGTCGGTCATGGATTCATGGACATGGAAGCTCTAGTCTGCTAGAATTCTCAGTGTTTTTTCTTAAAATTGTACACACCCCATCCCAAAAAGGACCCCAAAATGAAAAGTGACGCCACAGAAAAATGGCCCTGGCAAAAGAGGCCTACCTTCAGCAGTAACATGCATCTGTGAGACGACAGAAAACTGGGTTTTTGGTGTAATGACAGCTCGACGTAAATTCGCCTTATCTGAGCCCGGGTTTGGATCCGGTGGTTCTCCTTCCAGTCGCTTGGGACGAACAATGTAGTGTAATTCTCCATCTTCGATTTTGAAGGACTCTGATCTCTTCCGCACCGACCGTTTATCTGTCGGTGTCGACCCACTTGGGTAGGTGCCGCACAACAGATATTGCTTGATAACCGCAAGGCTGATATGCGTATTACTAGATTTTCGCCGCATCTTATGTTCCTGTACAGTCTTCCTCAATGAGAATCCAGAAGTTGTAAGATTTTCATAGATCCCAATCACGAACTGCACGGGGTGACCACTCAAACCTGCACTCCATGATGTAAAGACCCGGATAAATTTTGGGTTTATAAGAAGGAAGAGCTTCTGAAAAGGCCGGAAGTAACTTTGAAGTGGGCTCCATTAGGGTTATTTAAGCTGGTACATATTTTTTGTGGAATATAAATTATTGAGTGTTTACATTGTCCATCATGAAATATGGGTTGCAATTTTTAATTTTCTATCGTTATTTAAGTTCGTGAGTGAAATCTGTGTCTGTATTCATGTTATATGCGTTTATATTCAGCGAAGGAACAGATATACGAACAGGCCTTCTTCTTCCTCAGATTGGTTACCTCTGTACGTAAAATCTGGATTTAATCGAAAACGAAAGCGAAAGGAAAAAGAATGTTTGCATTGCAGTCGTTCTTGCTGTGTTTGGAATCTTCGCCTTGAGATTGGCAATAGCAATCACTCATCTTTATGATTGCTGTTTAACAGTTTTACTTTTCTAGACGTGTATTCCTCATGTAAGGAGTACTTTTGCCTGATGTCTCACTTTTTCGACGGACGTTTGGTCGAGGTCGTGACAGTTGTTGTTTGCCACTCTTCTGAACTCAGTTCAGAACTGGATAATCTGGTTTTGGCCCCAACGACAACTACTATGGAGCGTGATGTCAAACCTAATTGCAGAACATTAAACTGTGGTTAAATTCAGGAGGGCATGCCCCCCGTGAAAACCCCCATATTTTTATTTTTAGTCAGAGGGACAATACTAGCCCCACTGAAAAACCACCCTTATTACATACCCTTATAAATTATAATCAAGTTAAGTAGGGGCCAAGAAGATTACTGTTCATTTTAGTTTTGTACTGAAAAATTAAATAGCAGCGCTTCTCTTGCCTAGCATCTGCGTTTGTTGCCATTTTTTTGTCCATATGTTGCCAAAAGTTGCCACAAAAATGGCAAAAGTTGCCATTAATTTTCAAGCTTTCAACTCTATGTGATGATTATATGGCAATATGTAGACTAGATCTAGAGGTAACTTAATAATCTAAAGTACCAGAATTTCTTGTGCTCTGTTTTAAGCATCAAGAATATGATTTGTAGCCACACAGAGTGTAAAAAAAAAAGGTGTGAAAAAAGAAAGGTTTCACAACAGAATAAATCAAAATTAGAACAGAACATAAACAACCACAAAAATTTTAAAATATGTGCGTATGTCCACCAATCTGAAGATTGACAGTTTCAACCCTAAACGTGTGTATTTCAAGAAAAACTACAGGATATTACATGTGTAAATTATGGAGTCACACACAAGGGGCCTGCATTGTCAGTATTTGGTTTTGGTGGACACGCTCTAACATTATAACACATTTATTAATTAATTTTTTTTGGTAAGTGTTTTACGGTGCTCGCAACTGCATAAGGTCATATGAGCGCACAGGACACACCTAATATTTTCAGTTGGTAGGAAATTTTTGAATTTTGCCTGGGTGGCGGCTGAAGCCTTATCGATTTTAGACCTCCAAGGGATCTTTAATGTGCGCAACTTGCACACGAGCCCTCTAAGATTTTTCGGCCTTGTCCGAGAAGGCTAGGTGTAGATCTTTCCTACCAGAAGATCAGGGGTGTGGCTGAAGAAAGACAGCAGTAAGAAGGAGCCAAGGAGTAGCAGTAGAAAGGCTGCAGAAAGAGTCAGGAGCCCAGAGAAGGGGGCAAAGGAGGTGAGGGGGAGGGGGCAGAGAGAGGAGACGAATGCAGACGATAGAACATTGCTAGAGAGCAGGAAGGAGGTGAAAGGAGACAATTTTAGAGAAGAAAAGGTTTCGGTCACTACCCGGATTCGAACCCGGCACCTTTGAATGAGAAGCCAACACCTTAACCTCTTGGTCAAGAGAGCCCACATAACACGCACACGCACGCACACACACACACACACACACACATATATATATATATAAGGTAGGAACAATTAACATACCCTATCTATACAAACAAACAACAACAACAACAAAATAGAAAAACAACAGAACAAAAACAAGAAAAAAATTAACGAACTAACAAATTAAAATACAACAAAGAGTAAAAAATAAAAGAGGAACAGCAATACAAATAGTAAGTAATGTACTTATATATTATTCACATGAAAATAACAAATCAACGAGATGTAAATAAGTGAGAAAGAGACGAAGTGAAGCTAAAGTGAAAAAACTTTCTTTCTAAAAGTAAAGAGGTTCGGGGTTTTTTTGTTGTTTTTTTTAGTTGATTTTTATTCCCCGGCGGTGTTGTTGTTGTTGTTGGTGGGGTTTTTTGTTGTTGTTTTTTAATGCAAAAATCGCTGCCGCAATTCACGGACCAAAAAATGCCAAAAATCGTGGCCGCGACAAACGCAGATTCTAGTCTTGCTTTCTTCCACTTCAAATAAAACATCGATACCGAGTTATTAAATCAATATAGATATCCAGTACTCTTGGGGCCAAAACCGGAGAATGCCGAAATTTGTTTTGTGTGATGTCTGACTTTGAACTGACCACTGCACTGCGCTCACACACAAATAGTAATTGGACTCTACCTTCGTTATGACCGACCTTTAATGCTCCTGACCCTGAATCATCATCATCATCATGGCCTTTCTCACCCTGGGTCAGGATATAGGCCACGAACAAACACTCTCCACCTTTCCCTATCCTGGGCTAGTCGCTTGATGTCACTCCGCGTCTTCCCACTTTTCTATACATCCATTTCCGTGACTCTTCTCCAGGTTCCACGAGGTCTTCCCCTTGATCTTTTACCCTGTGGGTTCCAATCTAACACTTTTCTTGTTATGCAGCTGCTTGACTTCCTGAGAGGGTGTCCAATCCATCGTCAATGTCTTCTTTCCGCCTCATCTCTGACCGGCCTATGTCTGGTTCTTCCTTTATCTAATACTTCCTCGTTGGTGATCCTGTCTGTCCATTTGATCCTCAGCAGCCTCCTCAGACACTTGTTCATGAAAACCTGGATCTTCTTTATGCATGTATGGGATGCGTTCCACGTCTCACATCCATACAACAAAACTGTCTTCACATTTGAGTTGAAAATTCTAAGCTTTGTTCATAATGAGATATCCCTGGTCCTCCAAATCCTGCTCAAAGAAATAAATGCAGCCTGTGCCTTTCCAATGCTGGACTTTATTTCAGCGCCTGTTCCTCCCTCTCTGTCAATTATATTCCCCAGATAGCAAAAGGATTCGACGTCTTCTAATGCATTTCCTTGTACCGTGACCTGCTCCTTTCGCAGTGCATCTATCCTTAGGACTTTCGACTTTTCGGGGGTGGATCCTCAATCCAACAGACTCTGATAGGCTGTTTAAAATTGTTGTCTTTGCTTTCATCTGTTCCTGAGTGTGTGACAGAAGCACCAAGTCATCTGCAAAGTCCAGATCATCCAACTGTGTCCATGGGGTCCACTGTATACCATTTCTGTGTCTTCTGGTGGTTTCCTTCATCAGCCAGTTGACTGCCAATATGAAGAGGAACGGTGATAATAAACATCCCTATCTCACACCAGTCTTGATGTCAAAGTTGTCAGTACAACCCTGCAACTTGTCTCTTCGTACATGCTCTTGATGAGGTTCACCAACTTCTGTGGAATTCCGTGGCGTCTCAGTATCTTCCATAGTGTTGCTCGGTCTATACTGTCAAAAGCCTTCTCATAGTCAAGGAAGTTGACGATCAGCTGAGAGTTCCACTCCAGGGACTGTTCCACAATAATCCTCAGCGTAGCAATCTGGTCGGTGGTTGAGCGAAACCAGCCTGTTCATCCCGTAGTCTTGGATCCGTTGCTGTCTTGATTCTCTCCAGAGTGATTCTGTTGAAGACCTTACCTGGTATTGAGAGAAGAGTGATCCCTCTGTAATTGCTGCAGTTGCTGAGATCCCCCTTTTTTGGAAGCTTCACAAGGTGTCCTTCCTTCCAATCCTTTGGGAACTTGCTCTCATTCCAGATCCTGGTAAACAGTGGGAGGAGGATGTCTGCCGTCACATTGGCATCTGCTTTTAGGGCTTCAGGTGGAATCTGGTCAGGACCGGCCGCTTTACCTTTGTTCAGCTTCTTAATGGCATCCAGAATCTCTTGTTTTGAAGGAGCATCACAGCAGATTGGTAACTCATTTCTTGCTGGCAGGATGTTTGGTGGGTTACTCGGTGGTGGTCTGTTCAGGAAACTGTTGAAATGCTCTACCCATCGTTTGGACTGAGCTTCCTTTCCAAAAATGGTTTTCCCCTCTTGGTCCTTTACTGATACTTCAGGTTTCCCGTATTTTCCAGAAAGTGTCCTTGTGATCTGGTAAAGGATTCGCATATGTGCCTTCCTACTGCTGCTTCCTCTGCCTTCCCAGCCAACCTGTTCATGAATTCCTCCTTGTCTTTTCTTAGTGATTTCTTGACATCTTTAGCTGTTGTCCTGTACTTTTCCAATGCATCCGCTCTTGATCCTCTTGTTCTACTTGCATTCGCTTCTGCCTTCAGCTATCTTCTTATCCTAATTAAATCCAATGAGTGTTGACTAATCCATTCCTTGTGCTCCCATTTCTTCACACCGAGTACTTCTTGACAGGTTGATGTAAAGACTTCTTTGACCTTGGTCCAGTGTGTATCCACCTCCATGTCTTCCTCACCAAGATCCGCCAAGGGTTGAAATCTGTTCCTCAACTGCAGTTGAAACTCCTGTTTCTTGTGTCCATCTAAAAGACTTACTTGGAACTTCATTCTTTTTGTTCATGTTCTGGTTCCATGCTTTTTGAGACGAAGCTTGAGTTTTGCTAACAGCAGATGATGATCCGATCCAACGTCTGCCCCCCTCTGTACTTTGACATCTTCCAGTAAACGCCTGAACCTACGAGAGATACAAAAATGATCGATCTGGTTCTCTGTCACTCCATCCGGTGATACCCAAGTAGCCTTGTGGATCCTCTTATGGGGAAAAACAGCCTCCGATGACAAGACTGTTGAGAGCACAGAGATTTGCAAATCGCTTACCGTTCTCTTTCATTTGTCCCAGGCCATGTTGTCCCATGATTCCCTCGTAACCTACGTTGTCCTGACCAATCTTAGCATTAGCATCTCCCATTATGATGTTGGTAGTTTGTCGATGACCCCTTGGAGCCGGCTGTAAAAAGTATCCTTGTCATCATCCGAAGCATCGTTTGTTGGGACGTAGATCTGTACTATGTTCATGTTGATGCTCTTACTTCTGGTAGTGAAAGAAGCGATGATGATCCTCTCCCCCTGTGGTTCCCATCCTCTAAGTGACTTCTGTTCATACTTACTCAAAATAATTCCTACTCCCTCCCCATGGTGCTTGTCTTCCCTCCCAGAATACAATACTTGTTCCCCCGAGCTGAGCTGCTTCTGTCCAAACTGTATCCAGTGGGTTTCGCTGACTCCTAGTATGTGCAGCCTGTATCTTTTCATCTCTTGTGTCACTTGAGAACTCTTTCCTGCTTCATACATGGTGTGAACATTCCACCACGCAATCTGGAGAGACTTGTTCGACAGAGAAGGTTTTGGGTCAGAAGAGTCCTTTCGGCTTTGTCCGCTGTCCTTCATTGTTCCTGCTGATGCAGAAGCTCCTTCGTCTCCCAAGATGGAAAAATTATAAGGCATGTTTGTTGGTGTTTCTATAACTCTCCTTTTTTACTGGGTCGGGTAGTTGGCCCTCCGCAAACTGTCACTTTTCGGGTGGCCAGACCTATGCACTTTTAGTCGCCTCTTACGACACGCAGTATCACAGCAGGTGATTTTTTACTCCCCCATAGTAAAACTATGTGGCCCCCCCCCCGCCTGCAGGGGCGGACCCTGAATCAACTGCTAGTTAAAACTGTTGGGATCCTGCCTTCCTTCATAAGCAGACATTTACCCCTCCTGGTCCCTCTGGACTAAAAAAAGAAACGTTTGTTCTGTAAAAGGTCACTTTAATTTGTTTCTTCTTTGTAGAACATATTTCTGTTACAGTGGTCATCAAAACATGCAGAATATCAGTTACCACTATGAGTTTATATTTTTATATTAGGGGGCCTACGTGTACATGATATATATTATTAGTAGCTAGCGCTACTACCAATAATTTTTTTGTGTTCCTTTTTATTAGTACAGTCTCTTTTAGTTCCAAGACGACCTTGCCTGTGTAGTGTATGTAATATAAATAGTCTTATTTATAACTATCCAGGAAACCTTCAGGTTTGGACAATATATAATATTCTTCAATAAAAGATAAATTTGATGCTTTACAGGTCCATATCATGTCCGACTCTGATGATGAAGGAAACGATAATATTATACCTATCACAGAATGGCCCATAAACCCAAGTCCACCTTCTGCTTCCAAGAAAGACGAAGACGTTGCTGAAAAATGTGCTACAAGAAAAATACATCACAGTCAAGAATATGAGCATTGCTCGAAGGTTAAAAAAGTACGACTAGAAAGCGGAGAGCTACCATACGGCAATCTAGCAGGGCACTATGATGAGATGCAAGAGCAAGAAGCCATGGTACAGACTAGAATTGCAAGATGGTGGAGGAAATATAAACAAGGTGTAGAAACAAAATCTATGCCTGTCACCACAAATCCGAACACTACTCTGTTATGGATTTCAAGGTAACTCAAGAAAAAGACACTAAAATATAAAACAGCACTAGATCTATCTTTCTCTTGCTAATTTTGTGCAAGGGCATATAAATGAATGTATAGACAATGCCGATGAAGACCGGGTGCCATTTGTACAGATCTTGTCAGTTTGGTAATGTTTGAGCATTTAATCAGCTGCTTGCACTGTATGCTTCCCAAGAAGATGAGAATGTTTCTTAGTGTTCTATAGTCTGCTGGGGTAATAATATAGTGTAAAACGCAGAGCTTGCTGTAGAGCAGGGTTATGCGCTATACAAAAGCTATTTATTATTTACTATTAATATTATTATTACAGGTGGCCATATTGTACAAATGGCCATCATGGCAGGTTCGACTGTAATAGATCTATATATATCTGTCATGACACTGTGAAATCAGACTCTCGTCAGTTTTTGGGTGTGTGGAGTTGGTATCATCTTAAGACTTGTTTTTTTATCTTGTTTTCTATGAATAAATTATCCGTCTATCTTGGATAGAAGTCGGGATATTTGTAGTTGAAGGAAGTGGGGGTCATCTGTTTTCAGAGGCAAATTAATAGCTGCCAAAATTTGGTGACTTACGAAGCTTGAGAGTCCTTGTAAACTGCCAATTTTTACATTTTTTGTGCCTTTGATCAATGTTTTTTTAGTAAAATCCACTCATATATTGTGTTTTTAAATAGACATATAAGGTCCTGAGCCTGAAAAAAAAAACCCTAAAAATATTTTGCCCAATGACCATAAAAATGCAGACTTCTTTGATTTGATTATTTCGACGAGCACCTTATATCACTACAATGCTTCACATAATTAAATATGATATACAGTTGAACCTGCTCCAATGACCACTAAATCCAAGACAATCACCTATATAAATTACAACCTCACCCTTAGTGGTTGTTTTTTGTGTAGTATAATGACACTGTCCAAGAAGGCCACCTGTTTAAGATGACCAACTATTCTCGTTGACAATGGATGGTCATCTCTTGGACAGGTTTGACTATATATACATGTATGTAATAAGTTTATTTAATTTTCACTCATTTTCTATTTCTTGCCCTTTATTTAAATTCTATGTGCATCATCTTACTTACATTTTCTTGTTTCAAACTGTTTCACAATGTAGCCTACTATTTCCTACTCTTTCAGAACATGATAATTTAGTTTTATTTATCTAAAAATATTCTTTTTAACTCTTTCAGAACATGATAATTGAGTTTTATCTAAAAATAATAGGTTCGTTGTCCCAGTCTATTGGGACACCTTCAGAAATGATTTAGAGAAATACAGACCAAAGTTCCTCAACTACATGCAGGTTTCAATGTTAATTGGCGTGTTAGATACAGGTAAATAAATAACTTTGTGTGAGACAAATACAGGTAGAGAGAGCTCATGCAGAGTGTCAAGTCAATAAATGATAATATCTTGGCTGAGTCTGTTTGTTTAGACATTTTGCCATTATCATAAGAGATTTCTTGTCTATCATTGTGTTTATTTTAATTTCATTAATTTTTTAAAAAAATTTTAGTAGAGGGTTTTACGGCGCTCGCAACAGCATAAGGTCATATGAGCGCCAAGAGGTGGGTGTCAACAGAGAAGTCCTTACAGGCATCAGACTTACTCTGCTCACCTCTCTAGCTTCAACAGCACAAGGTCTGCTTCGACTATGAAGGCACCCCGGAAATAAAGGGTCACAAGAATGGCAAACATACATAAGAAGTAAAGGTAAATGACAATAGTAAGGATTAGGAAAGAAAAGGCAGCAGTTATGAGCATGACATGATGAATCAGCCCATTTACAATTCTACTGTGCTTGAATGAGAAATGTCCCCCCTTTGAATGGCCTAAAGACACTACAGTCAGTGGCACTGCCCCGGGGGGGGGGGGGTGTTTCTTATATTTATATTAAACTTTTTTTGTTTCACCCAGGACTCCAGAATGCCAAGTTTTTCTACTTGAAGAGGAAAAATCCCTGAAGTTCAGGTTGCAGGCTCAACATGGTGTGACAGCAAACTTATATGCCGCCCTCGCTAGTGTGGAAGACTATTTAGGACAGATGGATTCAGCTCTCACGAATATCAACAAAGCTGTTGCCCTTGACCCAAACAGTAAGACTGATCGGACATTTAAGTTTTTAAAAAAAAACTCATTATATATTTGTGTATATTAGACCTATGTATCTTCCTCTATCTTTTTTATTTCTTTGAGCTTTGTTCTTTAAAATCAGTTTTACGACTGTGTCTTTGTTTAACATTACATTTTTAAAAGTACTTTTATCATTTAAACACCGTTTTTCTGGTGGTGGTGGCATTAGTAGCCCAGTGGTTAGGCTACCGTACCCATAATTGTGAGATGTTGTGTCCTTAAGAAAGACACCTTACACAAATTTCCTATTTAGCTTGGGCCCCTCAGAGATTTTTTTTTTAGGGTTAGTGTTTTATGGTGCTCGCAACTGCATAAAGTCATATGAGCGTGCGGTACACACATAAAGCATTTTCAGTTTGGCAGGAATTAATTTTGAATTTTGCCTGGGTGGCAGCCAAAGCTTACTCTTGTCGATTTCAGGACCACCAAGGGATCTTTAACGTGCGCCACTTGCACACAAGGTCTCTGAGTCTTTATCTCTCTTATCCGAGAACGTTAGGTGTTTGATCTTACCTAAGATCAGGGGCCTGGCTGAAAAACAGTATAGTATGAAGGAGCCAAGGAGTAGCAGCAGAAAGGCTGCAGAAAGAGTCAAGAGCTCAGAGGAGGGGCAAAGTGGGGTGGGGGGCAGAAAGCCAAGACAAAAGCAGACGACAGAGCATGATTCGAAGATGTATGTAAAACCCAGAGGTTCCACCTCTTAAATAACCTTTTATGTGTTGATAGGGTCATTTAACCTATACTATTTTACATTTCACATTTTTCTGATGGTATTCTGCAAGTACAACAACAAAAAATCAGATGTAAATGAAGAATACATCACAGCAATTTAAATCACAATTTAAAAATTGCCCTTTTCATTTCCATACTTGCTGCACAACTTCCCTGTAGAATGGTGTGTTTGCAATTTATCTTTGAGCCTTTAGCTGATGCCACATTTCTGTATTCTCTCTCAGTCTTGTAACAAATTAACTACTATATTTCCTTCCAAATTGAAAGTCTGACTACAGATTCTCACAATAACAAACTGATCACCTAGCGTTTCTTCTTACGTTTTCACAGATTCTGAATATCAATGGTTGCGGGAAAAACTGTCCAGGCAGAGCCGAGTCATTGAAATTCAGTCAGATAAACAAAATGCCTTGGAAACAATGGACTTAAAATTTCCTCCAGTCTCAAAGGTAAAACGCAATTGGTACCTATGGGCACTCAGCAATTGGCTATCTGTAATGTAATGCCAGAGAGATTTGAGTTTAAATATGTTTATTACTCCCATATCGACACAATTTAGGTCATTTCAGAGGTGGGCTTCTTCAGCCTTGCCTGTTAAGACCAGCCCTGGCTGAGTGTGACACTACATCTGACCAGAAAGACAGAGGTACTGAAGAAAATTCTCTTCCCCACATGATTACTAGACTCCCAATTTTTTGTGTGCAACCGTAAAGAGTCTTTATCATAATCTGGATACGCGAAGGTGTTACCTCTGGCTCAGAGGTACAATGACCTACCATTGCTTATGGTCTGCTGTGGTCATATGCCATATTTAGGCCAGTCCATGCCTTGATGTTATCATTCTAGATTGTTCTTAGTCCACTTGTAGCTCTTTTGCCCCACATGTTGCCTTTGAGTATTTCAATGGCCACCATTAAAACTCAGTCACAGGTCAAGGAGACTTGACCTTGGTCAGATTCACTTTTGTTAATGAATATGGCATTGAAGCCAGATTTTCTTTTCTTTTGTTCTGCTTGTAAATTATAACTGTGGTTTGTGAATTGTTGCTAGTTTACTTTTTTAGATGAAACCTGCTGTTACTTTTAAATATCAATAAATATTCAGAATCCTTGTGAATTCTTTTTTGACTAGCACATTGTGAAGTTGGAAAAAAAATGAAGGGGCAGTGGATTTTTGCAGGCCATAATCTTTTAGCCCCTTTATTGCGTTGTACTCGTATTTCATATGTCTTGATAATCCACTGCCCAGTTCGCTGTAAATGTATCTCATACAGAGACTAAGACCTGTAATTTGTTTCATTGATATCTCGGCTTTTGAAAGTTAATTGTTTTAGCCATGCAGTCATAGGCATATCTATTCATAGATTATAAGATGAGAAGTGCTTGTTCTAAATCCGATTTTTAAAAAAAGAAAAGTGTCTTGTTTTTCTTACACACATCATACCAGACGATCAGAGTGGACAAGTTAAATTGGAACTTTAGTCTCAATACTTTCAAGTTGTTTACATCACAAATGGTTTGTTCTACCAGATTCTTAGATTTCTCTTTGTATTGACAACGATACACCATTTGCCATTCTCTTTGGCTTGGCGAGGAAGTAACCCTTTGCCAGTTGTTTCTTTCCATCGTATTCTTTGGTTTTATTTCTGGTACTTTATTATTTCTTTAATTTTTTTTCTTTTTCCAACATGTTTTTAAACATAAACCTATAGGTGGATCGAGTCTCCATCAAAGACCTAAGTGAGAAAGATTTTCATGAAAGATATGTGAAGACCCACAGACCAGTTATCCTGCTTGACCTCGTCCAAACAATAACATCAACTCCCTGGAATTTGGACTTTGTCAAAAAAATTGCAGGTACATGTTATAGAAACTATTTATACCATCGATCATAGTCAGTTAAATATAAATATTTTTATTTATTTAGATGATATGATTACTTCTCATAACAGAACTTCTATTTGTTTTAAAATTTAATCAACTTTAATTGCTCCAGATTTCGATTCTATGTTCTTTTGGAATACTTTACAACAGAATGGCATATGTCATTTAACAGAATGGCATATGTCACTTTACAGCATGGCATATGGCGGAGTCTTACAATAACCAGTCGATATATATATATGTGTAGTCCAGGATTATCATCCCTTTTGGTAGGCGTATGAGCGTATGTGTCACAACGCGGTGGGATCAGGCGCTCGTCAATTTTTGGCCATTTGGAGTTATTGGTATCATCGAATAGCTAATTCATTTGTCTTGCTGTCAATGAAAAAAAGTACCCATCTATCTTGAATAGAAGTCAAGATGATTGCGATTAAAGGAGGTGGGGTCGCCTGGTTTCAGTAGTAAAATTAGCAAGAAATGGCCACCAAAGTTTGATAACTTCAGTAGCTTGAGAGTCCTTGAAAACTGAAAATTTAGAAATTTTGTGCCATTAATCAACGTCTTTCAGTAAAATTCACTGGGAAATGTGCTTTTATATGGAGATAAAATGTGTTTTTTTCTTTTTTTTTGTAAAAATGGCAAAACTTTTGCAAAAAATGCCTATTTCTTCGATTTCAATATTTTGGCGAGCGCCTGATTTGACCATGATGCCTCACATATGATAAGTATAATATTTTTAATAGATTGCCAACAGTCAAGTCAAATGCAGCATTACTGTGGATATATCCCCTCGGAGTGACCCCCCCAAAACCAATGTAAAAGCTAAAATTATATATTTTTTAAAATTGTTATGCAACAGGCAGCAAGAGAGTGATGTTGAAGAAGCAGGTACCCCTGTCTGCTGAATGGGCTTGCCTTGAGGACAGTCGAACAAGCACTGTGGAAGAGTTCATTGATTCTGTGACAGAGGGGGAAACTGATGATTATCTCTTTGATTGGAGTCTACCCCTTCACTGTCCCGAGCTTTCTTCAACCTTAACAGTACCTAGTTATTTTGCAGGTAGATTAAGTGTTTGCCCTGAAATTATTGAAAAACTAATACTGCAGCCATTTCTTTTATATATACAGCAGAATCCGCTGAAAGTGATGTTTGTGGGACTGCTGGATTTTCTTCAGTATGTAGAGGTTGCTTAAATAGAAGGAAAAAAATCTGAGGTTACCAATGTTCACGGATTAATCGTGTTTGGTTGAAGTGGACTCCACTCTGTGTGTGTGTGTGTGTGTGTGCGTGTGTGTGTGTGTGTGTGTGTTTGTCATGTCAGGGTCACAGGGGTCAGCTCCCAGTCAGTGTTCTGGCTGGGCTGACTTAATTTATGGTACTTTTTAAATTTAAAGTTTAAGATGTGTCCTTGTACATTTAGTCATTATCATGTTACACACTCATAGCACAAATTTCTGATTTTGAAACTAAAAAAAAACCAATCACAATAATTTGCCTGGTTATTTGATAATGTGCTCTGAAGTCTGCAATGCTAAATTGTGATTTATTAGACTAGTGTGGAGGAAAAATAATCAATACTAATAACTAACGGCTTGACAAAATCATTGAACTTTTGGAACATGAACAACATAACAAAGATGGAACGAGGTACACACAAAAGACGTATCAGTGCAGTTTATAGAAAGCTGCGTATCTGCAACTCAATCTACGTTGCTCATAACGTGCGGTGAGTTATTCTGAGACACAGCACAAGTAATTCCTTCACATTCAACTTTATATGTCAAATACAATAAGAAATATTCACATATTTGCATACAAAGATTTAAGTGGTTGTCTCACTACACAGAAATACTTGTCAATTTTAGTGCCACAGTGCCAGAACACATGATTTTCAATGTAGTTTGTTCATTTTGCAACCTTCTTTTAAATCTATTTACCTGGATATGAAAAGAAAGGTTAATTTCAAAGAGATATTTCTTCATGCACACTTCATGAATTGCGATTTGTCAAGAATAACAAAATGTTTACATTTGCACTATATTTTTAAATATAATATACAATTGTGTGTAAACGTTTGTGTGTGTGTTTGTGTGTGTGTGTGTGTGTGTGTGTGTGTGTGTGTGTGTGTGTGAGTGTGTGTCTGTGTGTGTGTGTGTGTGTTCACCACACTAGTTATCTTCCATATGTCACATTTATCCTTCATCTGATTTCTTGAATAGTTTGACTCATCTTTAAACTCAAATCAGTGCCTAGACATAGCCTACTGTAATACTATTTGAACCTATGCCTTTACGTTACGTACAAAAATGTTAATGTTATGCATGTCATTGTAAAACAATTCTCCTGAATGGGATCTATGGAGGCAGGTTTTTAAAACAAACATTTTTCCGATTTTTGACCAGATAACTATTTGTGTCAGACCAGCCAGGGTTCCCTGTACCGAGACAGTTGGCCGAGTCTGTTTGTGGCACCAGCTGGGGCTGTGAGTCAGCTCCACATCGACGCCTTTGCCTCCAGCTTCTGGATGGCTCTCATGGAGGGAGAGAAACGGTCAGTGAGAGTAGCATTTCTTTTTATCTGACAAATTTGTTTTGAGTTTTTTAAATCTGTTCAATTTCTTTTTCTTGTCATAATTGTTTGGGTTTTTTTGTACTTTAGTCCTCTGCTTGGTCTTTGAGGTCGGGAAAATTTGGTTCATCAAAAACCAGTGTAATGATTTTTATTCCCTCAGACCTAAACGCTTACCTCATCCTGCTCTACTTTTAGACTCTTGTGTACCAAAGGCACGCCCAGTTTGAGATTGTGTATATTATCTAGCTCCAGCAGTCATCTCAAGTAACGGGAGCTTAGGAGCATGTTTCCTGTCGGGTAGCTAGTTTTGGGATGGGGTTCATTTAGAATTCTGCTCTTTCATAGCTGCTCTTCTTCTGCTCTTTCAGTTTCCAAAAAGTCTTTAACATAAACTTCATATTTGTGGACCCTCTAAACATTTTGGTCCTTATTTGAGAATACTGACTGCTCAGTCCCACTCTCACACACCTTTAGTTCATTAGTGTTAAAGAAAAAGAAAATATAAAATATCCAATTGACCATCAGCAGCGCCTGCATAGACTGAAAATGGGATCTGGTAATTTGGCTTGACAAAAGCACATTCCTTATTTCTAGTTTGAAACACCCCTTAGAAATTTTTCATCAGCTAGGTGCAGTGTATAGTAGATTCTGTTTGGTGACTTCCATAGCATAAGAGTCCTTGGAAACTGCAAATTTTAATTTTATGTGCCTTTAATCAATGTTTTTGCATAAAATCCACTCATAAAAGTGTTTTTGAATGGACATACTTGGTGGTGAGCCAAAAAAAAAAAAATTCGAAAAAAAAAATTCCAAAACGGCAGAAAAATGCAGATTTCTGGGATTTAATTTGTTTTGATGAGGGTCTGATTTCACCACGACGCCTCACATATATTTAGCTATTGTACACCCCACGGGAATCAATAGAAATGAAATTTTTCATGAGTTAACATTGTAGATTTTTATCTCTGTGTTTAGTAAGGAAAGGGGGACTGAATAATTTCCTTAAGACAAGCTTTAAGAATAAAGAATAAAGTGAAACTTCATGAGAGTTACACCTCTCACATATGTGGGTGAATTCATTAATGTCCACGTATAAAGATTATCATAACACATTTCCCCCCTTTATTCCAGGTGGACTTTCTTCCCACCATCAGACACAGCCCTCCTGTATCCTCGCTACATTCACTCCATGGATCCCGTGTTTAGTGTCAATCTGCAGGAGCCAGATCTGCAAAGTCATCCTTTGTTGGCTCTCACTCACCCAAGCCAGTGCGTGTTGAAGCCTGGTGAGTCAAGCAAACTTATTATCTACTTCAAAAATATGAAATGATGCATAGCTTATGTTATGAAATAAGTCAGTCTGATTCACTATTAGTCCAAATACCCACAATTTTTTCTTTGACACTCCAAACTGACAAAATTGTGATTTTTTAAAAATAACCTGGCCTGTTTCTTATACCAAAAGCTTACACTTTTTTTTCTTTGATCTTTGCTTGCTGTTTGTTTGCCCATTAGAACTAAAATAGAATTAACCTTTTGAGCCTGGGGGACCCGTGCACATGAGCTCCCTTTCGACAACTGCTTGATTTCCACCACCATACTCGAGGCCTGCATTCAATATGTAGAAATAGAAGGGTAATGATAATGCATACTGAGGCGTGTGCTTGAGTCTGTAGGGTTAATGTTGACAACTCAAGATATTAAAGTTGATGGCACTGTAGCTTGATGTTTTAAATGTTCTCTTCCATGCATGAGCTCCATTTGAATGACTACACAGATTTTTGCTTAGAAACTTATAAAATTACTTTTACCTCGAAACTATTTCCAAAGGTATTTTTCTAAACTATGTATGTTGTACACCATTTTTGTTTCAGTTCTTTATCACTGCAACAGCAGTTCTCAATTTTTGTTGGTTCTTAAATGTTTCTGAAAACTTCTTTCAGCGGTTAAGATTACTTCTGAACTCTTTTCTCTAAACAGTGATCATGCCATTCTTTAAATATTTCCCCATGTTACTGCACTACAAATATGTGTTAGTCCTTTGTTACTTAATGTAACACAGTACTTCTCTATCTAGGAGAGCTCCTCTATGTGCCAAATGGTAGTGCCCACTTTGTGGAGAACCTCACAACATCTCTGGCCATCTCCTCCAATCATGTGGATGAAGCCAACTACACACAGGTATCTCAGTATATGCCATTCTCTGTCATATTATGCATGTAGCAGACTAGATATGTAATTATATTTTAAAGGATCTCTCTCAAAAGAACACATGGGTCATGACTACATTGCAAAAGTATTTTTTATAGGCTGATCAAATATTCATTGTAATTGTAAGTGAACACTGGATATTTGTCAATCCATGGTGTCCTGTCATCTCCTCTCTGATTTGACCTATAGAGTTATATGACAAAACTTGTTTTGTCTTAGTTCCAAAAAGAATGTTTTCTGTGTGCCTGTGCAATCTTCAGTCAAATGGCTACATTTTTCCCCCTCATATAATGAACTGTAAAAGACAACTCGAATTAACAGTTAGCTGTGAAATGATGATCACGTTGTGGTGAACAGAATATATGAAGTAGAGGTAGTTTCATATTATGTTTGATCAGATGTATGGCAAGTTTTTTTCCCTTTAACCTGTGGTGTATATTTCCACACTCTTCTTCCAGCTTCAGAACAGTTGTTTCAGTGAATCTGTGTACTGTATACCCACAGGTGTGTGAGGAGCTGCACATCAATGGACTGGTGGACCCCAGAGCAGCTGAGCTGTTACAGCAGCTACACAGCCCAAAGTTTAGAAGGAGGAAAACAGACAGTGAATCTTTGAAATCATGACATACAGTAGAAAAGTCAATGTTATGGGGCCATGTTCATAATTCATGTTTTTCTCCTGTTTCCATCACAGATTGTAAATCAAAATTTCTTACTTTTAAACCTTATTCCTTAACTATTTGTTTCATAGAGACCTCAATTGTGTGATTGTGCTTATTTGTTTCTGTAAAACATTTGTGTCAGGAAGGGCCAGGAGTGGACACAAAAATACATGCTCAACTTTTTGAAAGTTCAGTAACACTGCATTCTGCAGTTTTTCCCTCATGTGTTCAGAGCCGCGCACTGCATCATTGAAATCATGAATGCAATATAATGTGAGTATGAAGTCCTCCATCGCGAAGAGTTGATTTTTGGCTTCTCCAACTTCCACTTCATCTTTGTCAAGCATCTAGAGCTACATATTCACATTTGATCTCATCCATGATGTCAATGACGCAGTGTGAGGCTTGCTTCATGCAAGGATATAACTTTAAAATATGACGCATATACTGTTCAGATAAATGGATGGGTACTGTCACTTAGTTTTTGCGTCTTTTCTCCTTAAATTTGCCGTGGCCGTTTCTTTATGGCTGTTCATATGACCATCAAATTGAATTTGTTAAACCTTGAAAAATTATGTATTTAGAAAAGATTGAATTTGACGTTTAACTGTTTTATTTTGTTACTTTTAATGTAGAAGAAACTGTTTGCTTTTTATGATCACATAACAATTACATGAATAAACATGTAAATATCTCACTAAAACACACATTTTATGAAGATTCATTAATTTCCAGACATTCTGGTGTATGATACACTTATTGAATGATAAATTTTATCTAAAAATGATGTTTTTTGTGTAATACTCGAGATAAGAATTTTGTCAACTGAAAGTTTAGCTAAAAGAGAAAACAAAACAACCATGATCTCTATGTAATCGAAGCCTTTAGCAATTCATGAAATGAGAAAGTTGTGACATAGCTTTTGATAGAATTTTTATTGTTAATAAAATATTGTTGGTAAGTTAACTCTCACTGTTCAAGACTGTGTTCTTCATTATCTCCGGACTTTGAGCTTCATTTATTTTTTCCCTGCTTTCTTGCTTTCTGTTAATAAGTTAACCAGGTAGGGTCCATTTCTCGTCTAACAATACAAAATTGCATAATCCATTTCCTTCATCCCACTTACTGCAGCAAACACTTACATGTGGACCCAGTCACAAGAAAAGTTGGTAGCTTATGTAGTTGTAGAGCAAGGCCAAACAAAATTTTTTCTGGGGAGGGGTTTGCCTGTTATGATACGTGATGAGCAAGTCCTCGGGTCTGATATGAGTTTTTAAAATCTGCAACATGTTCAAATTTGGTAAATATGTCGTATAGTTTATAAAAGTAATAGACTTTCTCGGGTCCTAGTCAACTGCAATGTATTAGACATTCAGAATAACAGCAAGTTCTTTCCAAGCTGATATTATCACATGAGTATGGTTGGAGGGTGCCACCGGTAGGTCTTATTTCTTTACTTTACTTTCCCTCTGTTGCTTCTGTCTGTCTGTCTTACTTTTTCCTAACACAAAATGACCATTATTGTGCCAATGTGCTTATCTTTAGTTGAACAGAACAAAACAAATTAGACAGCATGATTGTGTTTTGATTTGTCCAGTTCAATGCCCAAATAGACATGAAGTAGTTTCAGTACGACAATGGACTGAGATGTAAAACAGACTGAGAATATACTGGTAAAAGGCCTTATCATTAGTAAGGCGTAATCAAAGACTGAAAGAAACAGAAGTAACAAACCAGTTCAGAGCCACTAGCATCGCCCTGATCATGACAAATCAAATTCAGATTCCAATATCTTGATTTGAAGCACTGTCAATAAATACCAGGCCAAAAGTTAAGAGTCAAAGCCAAGTGAATAAACCCAAAGTTGACTCTGTGAAAAGTTTATTTTATGTCCGTATTTGAACAAACACCAAAACAAAACAGGAATTAAACAACAAACTAAAAACAATGCATTACAACACAAATGAAAAAAGTTTTAGAATAAAACAGTACAATGTGTCAATTAAATAAAATTTGAAGAACGATGAAAGGTGTCTAAGAAAAGGCGAATAATTTGACTTTAAAACAAACACGTATAAAAAAAAAGACAGAAAAAAATTAATAAAATGTGATATGAACATGATAAGAAGAGCACCAATTCAGATCACTTTCATAAATACATATATGTACAAAAAATAATGTCCCTGTCATGAGTCCACATAAGCTGTCTGAGTTCACTGGGAAATACAAATCAAGTAACCTAGTTTTCCTTCCATTATTTCACAAGTCATATATAAGGAAACACATGCAAGCATCTTGAAAATAGACAGAGAAAAAAAAAAAAGGTAAATTATCAACTGACTCAACCTAACTGACATACATAACAATGTACAATAAAAATTTTCTCCAGGTAGGAATGCTCTCTAGGCTTCTGCTGGGAATGCGAAAGAATAAAAACCTTTTAATAACAGAGCCAATGCCACCTTTGAGCAACCTATCATTGAAAAAAGTTTTCAAGCTCAGTTATTCATCACAATTGAGTCAAATAAGGGCCTAAAATTAATCATTTTCTTTACACACAAGCAAACAAATTTTTCTTTAAAAACCACATGTCACTAACAGGGCTGCCAACCATTCCAATTTTTTCGTAATCATTACAATTTTTTAGCTTCACTACGAAATTCAGATCTTAAGGCGATTCATTACGATTTTTACCATCAGCAGATTTTTGGCTCTTTTTTTATTTTACAAGTCTTAGTGCAGACCTGTAAATCGTCCGCCAATAGTCGGAAAAACGCCCATCTCTAAATCAACTCCCCACCCCCTAAAAAAAGGAACAGCTGGCCCACTTCGTGCGAGTTAGCCATGTCCACAATAATACCATACATGAGTAGAAGCATCGCTGCTATGCTGCTGAGACCCAAGCAGTCTAAAAATTGATTTTATTGATCGGCGTGAGATGGTGTGCCTTCACCCCGCTCGCTTCGCCCAGCTCGATGCTTCCGCCACAACCTCTCTTTTGCCCCATTCAGACACTCGAAAGAATTAAATTGTTGTGGTGAAGAATGCGAAAGACGCGTAGTAGGCTACCATTTAGGCCTAACGATGCTCTTTTTTTGGCAGCCATTATTGTTTATCATTCTGATCACCTCGGCATGGTTGTCGATAAGTTCAGTCTACTTCAAAGCTTGATGTTTGTTGTGCACTTAGTGATGCTCGATAAGTTGATGCACGTGGAAGTTTTTCTGGATCTCTACCTAGACTTCATTCTAGTTTGAAGCTTGTGATTTACCTTAGGCCTAGATCTAGGCTTTTTATTTAGCGCAAACATTCAGTTCTCTGCATTTTTTCTTTTAAAAATTATCTACATTCTAGATCTAGATATAATCTTGATTAGAATTAGATCTAGCGTGATCAGTGTAGAATTCTACTGTTAGATCCAGATCTACGCCAACAATGTTGTCAAAAAGCTTCTCAGCCTGCTATGAAGAAACCTCGCATTGAGCAGAAGTTCAAAGCTGACTACTCTGTTTCATGGCCGTTCATTTTTTCTTCATTGAAATTGGGTGACACTTACGCATTTTGCAAAACATGAGGAAACATGTGGGCTCAAAGATACGTCAACTTAGAGCTAATGCACAGAGCCAGATGAAACCGATCACCTTTCTTCAAGATTCCTCAGTTGTGGATTTTGAAAACAGTGTGACCAATGCAGAAATGCTGCTCATGAAGTTCATCATTGGACACAATATTCTTATTTCTGCCACTGACCATGCGGGAGAACTTTTCAGAGCTATGTTCCCTGACTCGAGATTGCAGCGAAATATGGAAGTGCATGGACTAAGACCACTGCAATATCGAAATGTGAAAGTGAGCAGATGAGTGAGGAGCTGGCAGGAAGAATGCGGACTCAGCCCTTTTCATTAGCGACTGATGGAAGTAATGATTCTGGTGGCAACCAATTGTACCCTCTTGTTGTAAGGTGCTAGAACCCTGAGGAAGGGAAAGAGATCACAGATGTCCTGCATATTGCGGAATGTAAGGAGTCATCTACGGGAGAGCACATGTTCAACATCCTGGATGAGGGACTGAAGAAGCATTCCATTCCCTGGTCGAACTGCTTGTCATTTGGATGTGGCAATGCTTCTGTGATGATTGGGAAGCATAAAGGAGTGGTAGCTCCAAGGCTGCCCCTGTCATCCTCTCCACATCGCAGCAAAGCAAGACAGCTCACAACTTACTGTGAATGTTGAAGAAGTTTTTATTAATATGCATTATTATTTTGACAAAAGCTCTAAAAAGGAAAAACGAATTTGAAAAGTTTCAGGTGGCGACTGGAGTGGAGCTTTCTAAGATCTTAAAACATGGGGAAACAAGGCGGTTGTCTTTGTCATCCTGTATCAACAGATTGTTACAAAAATGGCCTGCTCTGGAAGCCTTCTTCAACGAGGAAAACAACACGACCCCAAGGCTTCAGCAGATCATGGCCTTCTTTGCCAATCCAATGGCTAAGGCATACTGCCATTTTCTGAACAACGTTCTCCCTGTATTCATAAAGGCAAACACATTTCTGCAAACTGAAGATCCAGTATCCACCAGATGAAGGAGGCCCTTCAGAACATCTTCCTGGAACTTTTGGTTAGGTTTGTAAAGCCCAAAGCGGTCTCAGACTGCAGCAATATCTTTGAGGGCAATCATGGAGAGAGAACCAACCAAAAACACAGACAGGATGTTATAGTAAGCAAGGAGGTGAGAGATCACATCAGTAAAAAGGCAAGATTACTGCTGATGATGAGAAAGGTTTCTTTAATGAAGTTTGACTTTTTTTTTTCAGAGGCATGCACCTACATTTCTGAAAAGCTTCCCCTGTAAGACAAAGCCTTGCTCATGCCCAAGTCATTGATGTGAAGACCAGGATGGAACAGTCATACAACTCACTTTAACATTTTGTCAGGAAATTTCCATGCCTGATTGGAGCTGAAGAGAGAGACAATCTGGAGGTAGAGTTTTCTAAGTATCAGACAGATAAGCTGAATCCACCAATTTCCAATGCTGAAAGAGTGGATGTTGATGGCCAGCCAAAGTACAAGATACTCTCCAAGGCCATGCTGGGATTATTTGTCATCCCACACAGCAGTGCAGGACGTGAGAGAGTGTTCAGTTTGGTGAGGAAAGCCAAGATTGAATTCCGAACCTCAATGTTTACAGTAATCCTCTCGTCCCTGATGGTCCAGAGACTGAGAATGCTGTCAAGAGTCAAGAGAGGAGGTGTGCTACAAGGCCAAGTTCACAAAAGAGCAATTGAGCCGGACAAAGAACGCTTGCATGCACTCTTAGAATTCAAAGGCTTAACTGTTGAATTAACATTGTAAATAGTCTGTAAATAGAAGCTAGGCCAGGCTAGTGATTTGGTAGTGGGCCTACATGTGCAGTGTAGATGGGTATGTAAAGAAGTATAGCGTGGATTGAAGTATGTTACTTGTTGTGAATTTAAGGACTGTGTAAATATGTTTTTCTGGAGTTGAGGATGGAAATAGATTTGGCAAAAAATCCTTGATAAAAACGAATTACTGTCACCAGAGCCTGAAATGCAACCGTAAAAGGCTAAATCCATTACATCAGTCATCTACCATTTTGTGATTTAAAAGGTGAGTTTAAAGCAAAACTTTGACCTTCACATTTATTTAATTTTCGATAAGCCTTATTTTTCCGTAATTAAGACATATTTTGGTTGGTTGTAATATAGTAATTTGAAAATGAGAAGACTATTACAAATTTTTATGGGAAATTACAAATTTTCTTCATGGTCATTACTAAAAACCATGGAGATGGGTTGGCAGCCCTGCACTAATATCAGAGAACATAAGAATTACATTCGCTGTAACAACCATCCATTCAACATGTCAAAAAAGTTTCAAATGCAATGGTGACTGATACTTAAGTGAATAACCCAAGAACTGCCAGTTACTGCTAGGAAAGAGCAAGAAACAAAAGAGGA